TAATTGCTCCAATCATTCTTCTTAACTCTTGACTGTAATTCTTGATTCTTGATTGTGGGTTTTTGATCTTCCTTTTCAATATGTTTTCTCTTGTATTCTTGTATTGATAGGATCAAAAAACAAAAACAAAAAAAAAAAAATGAGAATCACATATGAATTGGGGACCGTAACCCTATTTATAGTTTTCGTATGCGTCGTCAAATACAATCCTAATGTATCAGGTTTCTACACATATAATTCGGCGCACACTTTATTTAAATGCCCTAAGCCCAACAATTTAATTATTTATTAGATCATTTTAATTGGGCTCAATTTTAAGATAGTCTTATATACAATTACTTACATATGTAGGCCTGCATGACAAATTAATAAACTCAACAATATCCCATTTGGGCCATATATATTACCTTATAAATGTGTATAACCTTATGACGTCAAAACTTTTATTATCATAACCTAAAGCATTTTCGAATAATCTCATCCATTAATTATATCAATATAAGATTAAAGCGGTCTTCGTTACAAATATTATAACTAAACGCTCAATGATCATGTATATCATACAATCAAATGATGCATATCAAGTGTGGATGTGTAGCATAAAAATTACATGTAATGTGATCCAAACATACTTATTTCCAACTAGACCTATCATATTCTTTAATGAGATCAAGTATAAACTTTAATCAGAGTAGGACTGAATTGAATACTTTATTTCTGAAATAAATCGAATATCTATGGATAAAAATATGTCTAAAACATAAAACATCTGAATACAAACTCCCACTAAACTGACATATTATCAAAAGATTCAACACTCATGTGAATATTATGTTCATGAAAGATTTTGGATGGTTACCATTTGGTAAATGGATCCATGATTGTATAGTTTGTTCTAATATGCTTTAGAGATATCTAATCGCTTTGAATTCTTTCTATAAACTTTGACATCATCAGGTNAATACTTTATTTTTGAAATAAATCGAATATCTATGGATAAAAATATGTCTAAAACATAAAACATCTTAATACAAACTCCCACTAAACTGACATATTATCAAAAGATTCAACACCCATGTGAATATTATGTTCATGATAGATTTTGGATGGTTACCATTTAGTAAATGGATCCATGATTATGTAGTTTGTTCTAATATGCTTTACAAATATCTAATCGCTTTGAATTCTTTCCTTGACAACTAGAAACTTAATGTCTATAAACTTTGACATCATCAGGTTCCTGTTGGAAGACAAGACTGCTATGTCACAGAATAACTAAAGCCGTCTTTCAAATCCATTCAAATATGTAGTCTAGTGACAATATTTTGCAATCATATTCCATGACCAGAATCAGAAAATTCAATGATCTCACATTGATCTGATTTTCTTGAATGTGATCATGCAATTCTTAGTTCTATATAAATACCGAATAACCTAATGGCCGCTTTCCAAATTTCCATCTAGGGTTAATTAAATATTTGCCTAGCATTCCAACAATGAATGCTATATCCAAATGTGAGCAAATTTAAGCATATATTAAACTCCAACTGCTGAAGCATATGAAATTTTCTGTATTTCATTTTCTTTAAATTCATTCTTAGCACATTTATTGAGATTAAAATTGTCTCGGAGTATCACTTAATTTTCATTCATGCACCCCACATAT